AATATATAATTCAAATATGCACTGATAAATTAAACGAACTGTCAATCAAAACATCAAAATCGCTAAAATATGACAACAACACAATAAACAATAAAACCTTCAAGTTTTGGTCCATATCGGAGGTACGGCATGTGGACAGGACGTTCCGAGTGCGCAACTGCCCGTTCAGTCGGTCAATGGCGGGCAGGAACCCTTCACTGTAAAGCTGGAGTGCTTTTGGTTTTTGTTCAGATGACCAAAAATCAAGGATACAAACTTCCCTTCGCTGCCAAGGACTCATATTTTGGGCACCCTTAGAAACAACATGGCCCTGTGCTAGCACATCGCTAGCATAATGATTTTAATCAGACCCTTTAGTGTAGACCACCACAACTCCATGTGTGTCTCCAGACTTGGTTGTGCCATGGGGGACTCCACTGCCTCCACAGAGGGGGCTTGCTACTGCATCTGCATGTTAAATTAAGCGTTCAGTCAAATAATGCTAGGAGTTCTAATGCTAATGTTGCTAACAGTGAATGAAAGCGAATAGCTGACAGTTAAATGTATGCAGAGGACATCATGTTTTAGTAGCCACCAGCTTCCATTCATTGTTAGCCATGTTAGATTGTTTGGTCAAGCTATTTATTTAAAGGTTTAAAGACAAAACTGGGGGAAAACTGAGGACCCAGACTGGCTAGCTAGCTATGCACTGCAGCCCTGCTAGAAAAACTAGCATAGCCCAGCATAGCTGGCCACCAGCACCGGACCAGCATAAACCAGCTCAGGCCAGGTTAAACCACAGGGATTCATACTGGTTCAGCAGGGAGTTTCAAAGTGTTAGCTTGACTTAGCTTGATCCTGGTGTACGGCTCTTGGACCATGGGCAGGTTCAAGGTTTGGTTTAGTTTGTGTTTGCGAGGTTATGGACCACCGGCCCACTCCAGCGAGAGCTTGGCTAGCAGGACCACCATCAAGAGAGGGGTTACCTGCACCTTATTTACATGGTGGTCACTTTGCTTAGGTGGGAAGAGGGTCAGTCAGCAGCAGTAGGAAAGCATCTTAGCAAGTCCATTTGACCATTTTTCACTGCTTTTATTTCCTAAGTACTACGTGGATGGGGTTAGTTTTGCATGGGGAGGGCAGGTAATGTCATTTTCCATTACATAATGGAAGAGGCTATTTGATTTATGCATTGACTCCACACCAGTAGTAAGTTCTATATGCAAAACGTTTGGCTGCTCTCAAGCAGAAAGCACGTCCAGTCACTTAGTTAATCATGCTTTTGCTTACTACAACCATCTATCTAGTGGACTTGTGAATGCAGTGTGCCATTAGCATAGCATTAGCTTTAGTCCAGAATGTTTTTTTTTTGTTTTTATAAAGGAGTTTGAAGCAAGAAGCGCTTGTTTTAAAATGTGCCCAGTCCATACAGTCCACATATGGAAACTAAGCTGGAAAGTTAATGCTTTGAGTGCCTTCAAACTCTCCTTTTCCACAGGATATGATGGAATATTTGGGTCATTCTACAGAAACGTCTGTTTTTGTGTCCCTAGCGTTTACAGATATATTACACTTAAAAACATGTTAGGGTTACAATTTATTTATACTTTTAAATAAAACAATAAGTTATTTTAACAATTATCTTCTTGAGCCTCAATTCAGCAATATTGGTTTTTAAATCAATCATATAGAATTCCAGGCACCGCAGAATGCTTGTCCCCACAGACATGTGTAAAGGGTGAGGCCATATTTTGAGGTAAAAAAACATGTTTTTCTGTTATTTTAACTACAATAATTTATACATGTTTAAGAAATATATGATTTAAATCACATAAATAAAACAAATGCCAAATAAATATTATAAAATATATAATGAAAGTTGTGGTCCCCAGGAGTCGTGTCACTGGTGTTACTGCGTAACACAAAATCTCTTATTTTAAAATAAAGATCACACTGATGACATCACTCGACTTCCTTTTACCTGTTTTCTGAGGATCTATGAAGAAAAGCACATGGCGAGTCCACTGTGTCTTTCAGTTATCAGAGATTTTCTCATTTAGCTCATGATTTCATATGAAGCTTTTAGCTGACGTCACTGGTGTGACCGACTTTGTTCTCTGGTAATTGTGAAAAAATAGAAAACAAATGGATTAAATTACATATTTTAGTGGATATTCCATGATTGACAACATGTGGTTTGATGCTCTGTAGCAGCCGTTTTGTAAAATGCATTTTTCATTAAAAATGTCTCTGGTGTTACCTTTCTTATGTGAAACACCAGTGACTCCTATGGAGAGATAGAAAAGTGGACGTTTCTGTAGAATGACCCATTTTCCAACACACAGGGGATTAATGTATTAGTATGACCTGTGGTTATTTATGTGGTTCGTTCTCTGGCAGGTAAAGGCTTCCTGATGCCAGAGCGTGCCGATGCGAGAGCGTGCAGTCGGATTCAGGGATTATATAATAACAGTAATAATAGTAATTACATTACCCTAAAACTGACCCCAATAGGAGGTAAGAATGTAGATTTGTCAAGTTTTTGCTCCACTTTACTACACCTGCTGACTAAGTAGGCAAAATGACCACAGCACGAATAAGACAAACACCTGATCTGAGATCAGGCCTGATTTTTCTCTCTTCTTGCCAGAAACACTGCCATTGACACTGCAGTCAACTAGTAGGCTGCATTCACGGAGCATCACTGCACTCATCCTAAAGGAGTGAGTGTGGGGAAATTTCAGCACATCAATCAGCGGAGCCCTCTAGCAGTAATCTATACGAGCAGTGATGAGAAAATCACTCCCAAACCTTCCTCCCCCGCTTTTACCTACGTCTAGATTACATACTATACAGAGTAAAATACGAGGGGAGGGAAGGGGGGGGGGTTAAAAATGCAGAATGAGTAATTACAATTGCTTTGATTCGGAAGGAAAAGAGTGGAGAGAAATTAAATTCTAGACATTATACTTTAAAGGTTTCTGTTATTTGGCAAACACATTTTTTGGACCTCTTTTTAAATACTATATACATTCACATTAAGTTACTGTTGTTATTTTTAAATATATTTATATGTATATTTATAATATAAGGTTACCCTAAGGGTGGTTTCTGAGGTTCCATTCAGTAGCTGAATTCTCTTCTCTATATTGCACCTCCGTCCTCTCACTGTCTCACAATGCGAGCCATATAAAATACTCTACATGAGGATTTCTCTTTTTCGTCATCAGTATTGATACAACAAATCGAACAATAAGGTACAGCACAACCTTTCCTCTCCTCGGAGTGTCTCTTTTTTTTCTTTTTTTTTATGTCCCGCTTCATCGTTCAGCCCGAAACTGAAGAAAGAAGACAAAGGAAGGATAAAAGAAGAAAAAAAAAAAGTCCCTTTTTTCCTTTTTTTTCTCCCCGGAGTACACACAAGGGCGGCACAGACAGACAGACAGTAGAGACAAAGACATAGAGAAACAGAAAATAAAAAGGAAATATCTACACGTTTGATCCCTTCTTACATATCCGCTCTGTTCTGTCAAAGAGGGGCGGGGCTTCAGAGCAGGAGAGGAAAAGAGACAAAGGAGAAGGGGGGGAGGTAGAAGGAGAAGAGAAGAGAAGAGAAGGTAGAGCGAGATAGAGAGAGAGCTAGAGAGAGAGAAGAGAACCTTAGAAGAGTCTACGCCACCTTCACGAGGCGCATCAGTCCGCTTGTCATGCTTTGGAAAATACGAGGGAGAGTGAAAAGATACAACTCAATGCAAAAAGGTCTCAGCATTCAGAGAGTTTTTTTGTTGGTTTTTTTTGCTGCTTTTTTTAGGAAAAAAAACGTAAATTTGCTTCAGAAGGAGGAAAAAAAGCTCATCCTTAGTGTACAATCCTTGCACGGACAGTCTTTTAGGTTTTGGCAGTTCCCAATGCCATGTCTTTTCGTTTGAGGCCGAGAGTGCGCTTTTCTGTAGCTCAGTTTCTCATTTCCATCTTCTTTTCGTCGACTCGTCCACTTTGCCCATCCTTGCCTTCTTTCTTTCTCTCTTCGAGCGGGTCAGTAGGGGTGGTGGGGGGGTTAATCCGCTCCTTTCGCTCTCCACAGAAACCATACTCAGGGTTGAGGAGGTGAAGTCGTTTGCGTTTGGTTACGAGACGAGTGCTTCTCCTTGACTCTTAGTAACTTTGGCAGTGTATTAAAAAGGTTTGGATCATGTTATCGTAAAATTCATTTGGGTTCGCGTCAGAACAGAGAGGTGAGTCCGGTGTAGGTTTTTCTTGGCTCGCTAGCAAGGTAGTTATCAGGTCTTTAAGCATTATTATTATTATTATTATCATTATTATTAGCATCGTTATTATTTCTTTTGGATTTTTTTTGGACTGTTCTTCATTTGTCGTTAAAGCCAAAAAACAAACCGGTGAACGAAATCTTTCGTCGTGTGTGGAATGGAACGGAGCGCTGTCCAGATGTGGTCTGTGGAGGGGGGGTAATCCAGATGTGGTTTGCTGCCCCTCTGCAGGAGGAGTTGAACTCCTATTCGTCCAAAAACTTCCCATCACTCTCTCTGAGGAAGAGTCCTGGGTGTGGGCTGCCTCCATGCATGCTGGGCTTAAATTACTGAGGCCACTTATTAGCATAGCCAAGCTTAAAGATCTCTCTGTTGATCTTTTTGTGCCTTATTTTTAATAAGACATGCTTTATAATAAATTCTGCGCATTCTCTGGCGCATTCTCAGTGGCCTTCGGTAACATAAACCCTTTCTAATATTGTGTATATTTGTAGACAGCTGGGAGACCAAGAGCTGTTTTCCTTTTTGCCCCCTTCTACAGTCTTTCATTCCAGAGGTTGACGCTTCAGTTAGCTAGGGAGCTAAATATTACGCTGTCCGGTCCTGTGGGCTTGTAAACAGGGTAAACGCGTGTGTAAGTGATGGTGGAGATACTTTTGCCAGCTCGTGTTTTGGAGCAGAGAGGGTGCAGAAGAAGCAGCAGCAGCAGCAGCAGGTATGTGTGTGGGTCACGGGGGGGTCAGAGGTAAAGAATCAGCGCGACGAGGAGTCCAGCAGGGCCGGCGTGGCGGGGGTCGTGGAGCGCGAGGCACTGCTGGAGCTGGAGCTGGCGTCCTTTGGGCTGTTGGCTGCTCCGGCCAGGCTCAGGGGTCCGGAGGGGTTGCTTTCGGAGTGCGTGGGTGGGATGCTGGCGGACGAGGAAGAAGAGGAAGTGGATGTGGAGGAAGAGGAAGGCGTCCCTGCCCCCAGAGGGACGCCGCTGCTGCTCCCAGGCAGACCCTGCAGACCCTGGCCGCACACGTGGTGGTGCTTCTCCCAGTCCTTGTGCTGGCAGAAAGAGCCGCAGTAGCGCGCCGTGTTGCAGCCGCTGCAGGTTTCGCTGGCTTTGCGGCCGCAGTTCCAGCAGCTCTGCAATATAGAGGAGACGAGTGCCTTAGCAGTGTGCACATTTTACACCAAAATAACCCTATCAAACCCAACGTTATGACTTCGTCAGGGTGGCCTCTTTCTGCAGGCCCCCTAGTGGCCATCTGACCCTTGACTCAGATATTTTTTATTTTATTTTAATTAATGCAATAATGAAATATGTAAATCAATCGTTTCCTTAAAACTTAGTTGTTATCTAATTTACAAGGACGCTGTTGTCTGTGTGTATGTGTGTGTGAGACGCTCTGTGTTGAGCTGCTACTGAGCAATGAGGGGCAAAAAGAGAGAGATGAGAACCCTCTGCTGTGAAAACAGTTCACACCTCTCCACAAATAGATAAAACGGACACCTACAGCTTTCCACATATCAAACAATGCTGTTGAACTGCTACTATTTAAAAATAAAATTAAAACACAGTGAAAACACACTTATAAGTGAATGTGTTTATATGCACTCAATAATCCGATCGTGATCAGATTTCTGCAGTTATCTAATTATTCAAATGGTCATGTAAACAGCACACTCTGATTTCTTAGATCAGAGTAAGGTCTAGAAATCTGATTAAGAAATCCGATAAAGAGGCTGGATTTTAATTCAGTAATCAGATTTCTCAGTGCATGTGAACTCTTACTCTGATTTCTTTCAGATTTCTCAGTCTGCCCATGTGCGAAACAGACGCCGGAAATAACTGAGCAGTGTTGCCACGAGACGGCAGCAAAACAGTTTTGGAGTGACAGTGAAACCAAACACATGCTTGACAAAATATACATACATACATCATCTAAACCGCTTATCCTTCTGGGTCGCGGTGGGGTGCTGGAGCCTACCCCAGCTGTCATTGGGCGGAAGGCAGGATACACCCTGGACAGGTCGCCAGTCCATCGCAGGGTGCTCGACAAAATGAAGGATTTAAATATTCTTCGTCTTCTAGATGTATGTTCATATTTTCAGGTAAAGTGCCGCTGTGTTTTAAAATAAAAGCTGTGGAATAAAGTTTGAGTTTTGCTTTACGTTTACATCACGTCTTCTTCTGTGAGTTTATTGGCTGGTTAGAAAGCAGAAATCTGATTACTGCCTGACTCATGTAGACCTGGAGTTTACCATTATCTGATTACTCAAGTGCATGTAAAGGTGCTGATCAGATTACTGACAACATCTGATTTTCTGCGGTTATCAGATTATTAAGTGCACGTAAACACACTCAATGTCGACTTCCAAAGACGAAAATCTAGTTAGCTTCCCATTTTGTTAATCGTACACATTTCCGTCACATAGATGTTATTGAAAAAATATAACTTCAGTTCAACTGAGGGACGTCCAGAAGTGTGCGGAGCATTTTACAGCTACTGTGAAAAAGGCTTAACTCATTAAAATCTGCTCCCAGAGTAGTTGGTGAGCGAACATGTCCACATTGGTTTTTCTGTGTGCTGCCCTGTTTCCTATCACTGTGTAAAAGAAGCTCCATGCTGTCTTTATTACCTTTAACATGTACTGCACTTGAAGTCGTTCAGCCAAGACAGGATATTTGATCCTTTAGTGTTAACTAAAGGACAAGCTGACACTTTTATTCATATTTATAGATAGCAGTACGTCATTCAGCATCAGAAACCACGTAAGCAAGTATGATGCTTGATTTAGGCATGCAGTTAGCACTATGCTAACTGGTGGGGCGTAAACAGAGGTGGGCAGTATGATATTTATTATTATGGTGATAAAATGACCAAAATGCTTTTTTGATCATATCTTGGATATCAGATGTACTCACAGGACATTAACCAACTGTGTGTTTCATTACAAAGAGAGATTAGTTAGGCTTGATTAATTGGATTTAGTGTAGATTCTATTCGTATTTCTAGTTGACAGTATTTTTAAATCTGGCACGACTGGGCCTTTTTTGTCTGTTCCAACTGATCGGATCTCAGAAAAATGAAATATTGTGATATTTATAGCATGTATCCTGCCTTGAAGTATTATAATGTTTTTGCCATATAATCCAGTTCAGGTATAAACATTCATTATTTGTTCACTATATTAGCCTCGTAGCTCCGGTGCAAAACTAAACAAGCAAACTTTAGATACCAATCATGACTTGGCTGACTGACCACAT